TAAGTTCTGTAAAACAGTCACATTTAATTATAACAAATTTATTTCAATTCACGCCGAAGCTTATGGAAAAAACATACCTCACTCAAACCTTGTTTAACTATTCGATCATAAACTTTGGTTTGACTGTGGATCGCGGAGCCTACACTTTGCGATGTTTGGGATGTTTCCCCTCCCTAGGGTAGTGTTGGTGGGGGGGGGAGGGTAGAAGGGGTGTGACGTAGAGGGAGGGAGCCACGTGGACTTTCTGTAAACATCCGATAATCAGTTATCGTGTTTACAATATTCCAACGTAATGTGGGAACCGAGCCAACCGAGCCAACTAAGACAACTAAGCTACTTCCGCGTCCAACACAGAGTTGTCTCGGTTGGGCTTAAGTTGGCTGGTGACGTCATGGGGTTGACAATGAACACAAACATGGCGAAAATCTGGAATGAAACTGAGCAACATAAGCATTGATATTATATTGTTTTTAAATATTGCATTTCAACCACTGATTTTAAGGTAGACGTATAAATGAGCTGTTGCAGATTTCCAATTCAAATTGAACATCGTTGAATGAGAGACTCACAGAATCTGCTGCTGTCGAGATTTTATACCTCTCTTAGTTTTAGCGAATTTCCCCATTTAAGGATTAAGAATACCTCCACCACAGCAAACCTGCAGACTAAAAGCGTATTCCCATTTACCCGGCTGGATTTCCACTAAAATATTTCAGTACAGTAAAATCGTTAGATTTATTTCCTATTTGAATATCATCAATTTTAATAAGTACAGGTAAGGTGAGGTGTGTTCTTCTATGAAATTCTTGATAGCTTAGTATGAAATAAACTCCCCATATGTGGAATAAGAGTGCCCCCACCACAGCAAACCAGCCGACTAAGCGTATTTCCATTTACCCGGCTGAATTTATACTAAATTGACAGATTTATTTCCTTTTTAAATAACATTACTTTTAATGAGTACTTAGGTTCGCTGCTACAGGGAAGGTGTGTTTTTTATTGAAACGTTGATACCTTAGTATGAAATAAACAAAAATATATCCATAAGCAAGTTAACTACAACAGTTTATTTATTATCCATGAAACCTTAATAGTTTAACTCATAAATGTTGAATTTTTTAAGTAAATCTGAGTACAAAATTTCACATGAAAATTGCTTCTTTTATTGAAAGAAAAGTTTAAGCTCATCGGCTTTTTCTTGGTAAAAATACCTTTAGTATTGTAGTTTTATAGCTCAGAGAGCACAGAATATAGCAGATACAACAAAATCATGTGTTTGAATACATATATTGTGTAATGCTATATCCGCGTGAATTGCCAGTTAAACTGTAGCTGGTTGGTGAGATGTTACAAAAAGAGAAACATCCAATCCAACTATCGACGATTTATTATTACATGTTTACGCGTTTCCTCCAACGCTCATCATATTTTATCCTCAAGTTCTTGAAGAAAGAAGCTTAATTTTAGGTGGAAAATTGTATCTTTTAAAATAGTTAAGTAAACCATTAACACGTCATATTTTACAGTATGTTGTCACAAATTAAACATCTTCCCTTTAAGGTTTGTGTAGGTAATACACAATAAATGGATGAAAAATAAGAGGTTAATTTACCTTTATTTCGTCTTGTCATTCTTATACACACTCTAAGAGTGAATCCACCCTTAGAAGAGGTATCATAATCAAAAGACGTAATCAAGGTAAAATAACCTCTTATATATGTTAGGTGATTCGGGACGACACAAAACTGAAATCATAGATAAGGTGAAGACATCTTTGAGGAATATTTATGTATGGTAACGCTTAAATAAATAAAATAAAAAAGAAAATGAAATAAATGTGTTAAAGCTAGTAGCCTATATTATTGTTTTTTCCTAACTTTTAAATTATTGCAAACAAAGCTTAACGATATAGTAAAAAAACCTGTTTTTGATGTGGTGCTGTAACAAAATAGGAAAGCGCACTGAAACATTCACCATAACATAGTAAAAATATTTTACTTTTGTCATTATAGAAATTTTTACCGTAGGCTACATAATACACATTTATCTATTCCTCAGATCTTAAGCTTTGACATTAAGTTTACTTGCAGTATTGAAATAATCATTATAACATACATCCCACGTCACTTGTAACACTTATTTAACCAATGTTTTATTACTTTGATAATTTTCAACTTAGTTTATAACCATGTTAGAAACAATTGAGGGTAAATCTTCGTAATTCAATCAAGTTCTAATCAATCAATTTAAATTATGTAACAATCGATATGACCAAAAGCAACAATCGATATTCGATATATCGAATGCAGTGCGTGTGCCAAGCCTGTATAGGTTTATGCGCTTGTTTTTCCAATACATATCAACAAAATCACTCTCTCCGATACTCGGCTGTCGATATGCTTTAGCTGATGTTATATCCAAACTTCTTTCCTTTTCCGGAATAACAACTAAATCCTCTGGACAGTTAGGCCTGACTTTTCACTGGCGTTGAAACTTTTGAAATTTATAAACTATCTTAAAATCTGTGATTTAATCAAATAAATGGGGCATATATAAATGGTTTTCTTATTGACGAAGAACATAACTATTTTAGGTTTTATAGCGTAGGATAGATTTTTATACGTTAGATGAGTATGAGAAAAGTATCAATTATTTTAATAACTAAAACGTGTTATGTTACTAAACATTTCTTCGAGTTATTTCATGCCAGAGTTCACAATGAATTTTAACTTTCTGAGAAGTATGAAATTGCGTAAGACTGGAATACATTTACGCAGAAAGTTTTAAACAAAGAGTTGAAATGTAAGTTGTTTGGCAAAGTGAAAGTGGAGAAATTTCTCGTTGAAATGTACTTCTTACAACGGTCAATGATTTTAATTTTGAAACGTATAGAACAAGTAGGACTAAATTATGTTACTTAGTTGAATCCCTTCAAAAATGATCAACTGACCATACGATTTTTGTGTCTTAAAAAGAGCTTTTTGTTAAGTTTATTAAGTAATATAATGAATGCATATTTCTTTTTCATATCTACATTAGGTAAATACTTTGTCGCTGAAGTGCCTCGAATCAGGTACTTGTATGTACAACATAGAAATCCGGAGACTAAACAACATTTTGAACATAAAATAAAAATAGAGCCAATAGTTTTTTTTTTATCAAACTACCTCACTAAAACAATGTTTCATAAAGGCTATTAACATTTAAATTAAAACAAGGCTATCTGTAATCACTTAAACATATAACAATCAAGCTTATAATTTCAGTTAGAGAAGTTTCATCCAAAAGCCTACCTAATTGTAGGGATTAATGGGTGCCTAAATACTTAGGTGTAAAACGTTTTTTAGAGTTTATTGACTTCAAGATAAAGGGACAAATCAAGATAAATCAAGATAAATCTTAACAAATCAAACTTTTGGAAATTCATATATGAATGACTATAACAAATTATTCCGTTGTCTACTTGGTTGTTAGTCTAGTCTCTCAAACTCCCAGAATATAATAAACTCACTAGGGATATTTAAGGGGCGTTCCTCTATTCTGCTGCTTTGTGCATTTAAAACTGTGTGATTTAAACGCATGTGCTAATAGTGTATTATTTGAAGAAGCATGTTCCGACGTAGCACTTAAACTCTAACACATTATAAAACTTAGTTTCTATAAGCAGTAACAGAGATAGCAACATGTGAACGGAGGCTCTCGTCACATCAAACGCACCTGTCTACGATAACCGACCTCATATCTGTGCTTTCTCTTCTGTAGAATCGTTCTTTAGGTCAGGTAACAGGGAACTTAACTCCTAAAATGGATATGAAAATGGCTGTTGGTGTAATGAAGTCTTTATCATTATCATTACCAACTTCATATATATTGTCGTTTGTATGGCACTATGTGTGTTTTGGAATCATTTATTTTGAAATAAGAAAAGAGACGAATATTGCGTTGAACAACCAGTATTCTAGCTTCGATTAGTGTTATTTTTAGTTTTGTTTGCCAGTGGTATTTTGTAAGAGGGGACACTAACGTTTTAAGGAAACTCGGCGAATGTTTGTGAGTATACTTGGTCGAATACCTCCCTCACGAAACTAAGAGGAAGGTTAACACTAGGCTAGCAAAGTAACACACACAACTAAGAGATAATAGGATACACAATGTTCCTACCACTGCATGGAAATGATCTCAACGCCATACCTGTAAACAGTACGCAAAATAGCTAGATGCCACTCTAAAGCGGGAATGGATAATTGTCTCTCGATAATCAGCTGATTTCACTGTTGGCGTTTCTACACCACAGCCGCGGATCAGGTACGTTAGTTAACAACCGGTAAGCAAATAAAATAGTAATACAAAAAACAATCATAACCTAAATGCCATTTTATATAGGCTACATAAAAAAGTTAATATGTGTGTTATTATAAGTTAGTTATGGTGGTTTGAAATTTCTTGTGTGTATTCCAAGCACAAACAGTCATTGCGCTCTTAATACACAAAATATCTGTTATCGTTTCTTACCAATCTGAAAAACGCTTGCTGAATAAATACCATTTATTATTATTATTATTATTATTATTATTATTATTATAACTCTTAATTCAGTAAGGAAATACATACTCTCATTTTCCAAAACACTTTGAAGTATTGTAAAAAAACATCTCTTGAATTTTTATAACCTACATACACATATAGAAATCGTTTAGTGTTCTTATTGTAAATTATCTACAAGAGCAAAGATTATTTTTTAAGATTCCTAATTTTCCTTTACGTGATATATCATCAAATTAAAATGTTTAACAAATTCAAATCTAATTATATTTATATTGAATAAAACCTGGTGTTTACGTCAATTTACTTTGCATCTTAATGGAAAATAATTAAATTATTTCATACTTTTTACGTAATATAATGAGAAGTAGTTTATTATTATAACTTTAGAAAGAGAGAAATTACCATTTCAAAAGTTATACAAGTTTTTTTTTTATTTATGACTGTACTATACTCACAGCTGCCGGAGAAGTTCATTGGATACATGATGGCGTAGTACCTGTCTATGCTGAGCGCCACCAGTACATATGTTGAGGAATACGTCACCACCGCCTGTCAACATACAAAACATATGTTTAAGCAACATATCAGCTGGTCGCTATAATAACTTCATTGTTAGGATATAAAGGAACGGGTAGCCTACAGGTTAAAATTTCTAATTACTTAACTCTTACAGTAGATCAGCATATTTATTGTTGCAATTTATTAGTTTGTTAATTGTTACAATTTATGCATTTTTATTAATCGATATTATCATATGGTTGTTTCATTGTTAAATTATTATTGTTATTTAATTTTTTAGAGTAGGCCTATTATATAGTTTTTGTATTGCTTGAAATGGTTTGGATTTTCGCTGTTTTATTCTTGTTTTTTCTTTTCTATATTTTATTTATTTTTTTATTCAACTTAATCAGCTTATAACCTATAGTTTATTCTTATAGCTTATTCAGCCATCTCTCACTTAAACTTAGAGAATAACATCAATATTATTCAATGTTCGTTTTCCTGTTTCTCGTTTTCTTACATGAGCACACTCTATTGTCGGGTGTCACATCACATCAAATCAAGTTTCAAACAAAAAAGTATTGGAAATGATATTCTGGTGAGGGATGATATAAAAACAGTCAGGGAAAATATTCTTTAAAATAAGTATATTTTGACCTCAGCCAAAGTAAAGATTTTTACATTTGATACACTAAACGTTCATTGAAAGACGCCCTCAAAGGCACATGGGATAGTTGGTGTTGGTATAAATTTAGATTAGATTTTTTTTATATTTACACTGAACAAGTGATACCAACGTTTTGGTTGCTGCAATACAATATTATGTTACTTGTGACACCTATTATTTTTTAATGCGATTGTTTATTCCACCTATAGTAATAATGTCAGCTAAACCAGAAATAACCCTTTACACAAACGTACACTAAAACTAATGGAGAAATAATAAATTTAACACAAGTTTAGTGACTTTAGAGTAGCAGAAGAATACAAAGCGATGACACATTCAACATCAAAGACTCAAGATTTAGTATGAAGATCACTGGAGTGTAACTGTGTGTTCTGCGTTTCGGTGGCCGAACACGACTACTGTACGCGTAAATTTTGGTTGACAGATCTACTGAATAAAGATCAAACAGATTCATATAAGTTGAATACAATTAAATAAAGTAATTTAAACTAGTATTTTTTTAATAAAAATCATTTTGGACTAACACGCATAACAGTTAGGCATGAAAAGAAATTTATGAATACGAATAGAAAAATATATTGTATAGTAGTATTTTAAATAACAACCAGATTTATTGATTAGAGCTGAAATAGGAAATCTTTATAATCACTGAGAAGACCTTCTGCTGATCTTAATATTTTACACATCCCATTAAATAAGCTTAAAAATGGTGATTATTTTTATGTTACACCTGGCCATAGTTTAAACTGTGTTCATGTCAGTAACCAAATTAACATTTATTTAAGTCCAGGATTTTAAGGCTGACAATACAGACATGGTGATCCAAGTTTTATGTTAATCAGACTGCAATCACTACACATACACACAAAAAAAGTAATTGTAAAAGTAGTAGTGTAACCTCTTATTAATTACAGTATTCCTATAGAATCTCTAAAACATTGCACTCTCTTACCATCTCCGTGTGGTCTACTATAGTGATTATTTAGTTTTTCTTAAACTATTTAACAATTTATCATAATTTTTGATCCATTTAAGAATTTTCATTTTCATTGTTCTTTCATAACTGATGTTAGAAAGTTTCACACACACAATATCCATACAATTTTCAAATATTGTCTCGACCACTGTTCAATTACTTAGTTTGAAAATCGATGAGTTTCATTTTATCTTACAAACCAATAAGGAACATTTCACCCAAACAATGGAAACCAAAGAACAACATTTTTCTCTGTTCCATTGTTTTGGTGCTGCCAGATATTTTCAACAATAACATCAATGTGTTTCAGACCATAAATCAAGTCGCCGCAGACAAGAGAAAAAAGTGAACAAAGAAACAAGACTCCCTTGTGAGGGAACTTTGACAAATATTTCGTTTGATTTTCCGTATCAAGAACCGCCAGCGTGGTGTGTGCTTCGTCATATATTTGAAAGCCTAATGATCAGTCAATATGTCATGGAAATTTATATCAGTGTTCTGCGTAAAAGAGCTTCAATCTTTTAGCCAAGAAGATGTCAATTGCGTCAATAGTTAATCCAATTCAGCCATACTAACGAACAGTTTAATGATTATCATAATGGATTAATTGGCTAGTCACGATTATGTTAGTGTTATAGTCGGTTAGAGCACGAGACGCCATCTTAGGTGTCCAATTTAAAATCCTAAGAAAGTAAGAATATGAATAAACATATAACCTAATAAACTGGAAATTTGATCTAAGCCATTTTATTCTAAAATACAAGATGTCCTCGTTGTTTGAAACCCAGTACACAATAAAATAAACTGTTGGTTTATTTATTTATATTATTTATTAAAACCGCTATGTCTTACTAAGAAGTGTTACAGTTGTTTCATTTTTTTTATAATTAATTGTAATGTGCCTCTCAGTCTTTAGAGAAGAAATGTGTATTCTTACAAAAAATAAATTTTGACATATAGAGACAGGAATGTGCAATATTTTAAAGTAAAACGTTGGAAGTATACAATGGCTAAAAATCAAGGAATAATATATATTATCATGTTATCTTATTGATGATAAGGAAAAATACAGCCCTGTATCTAGTTTTAGCTTTACTAGATACAGGTGTTTCTTTTTCTTTTTCTCCTGCACATAAGTGTGTATTACATCAACTGTAATAATGGATCATTAGAATAAAGCAATTTCATTAGAACCTTGTCTGATAATTTTAGGTTAGAAACATGGCTTAGTTACTCTGAAGGGGTTTGTTTACATTAAATTTATTACGCATTAAGTGGTTTTCTTTGTCACACAGAACATTATCTCAACGTGCCATAAACGATGTTGTTTGTACATTATTTTTCTCCCTTTAACCGCATTACAGTCTTTGTAGGGAAGCTACAATCTATTAAATAGACTTTGTTTATCTTCTGGACAACAAAGAGTGTTATAAACAGTTACTTTTTTTTGGGGGGGGGGGTTAAGACTATAAATAATTGATTTGACTCGACCCCTGTGCAAAAGTGTGTATTTTAAGACAATGAAAGTGTTGAATGAATTAAATAGCCAATCATATCACTGAGACTGGGCTGTTTTTTTTTCACGATAATTTATTTATACCCCTGTCGCAAATCTGCAAGCGAATTTCCAATTGCCTAGTTGGATTTTAACTAGAATATTTCCTTAAAATTGTCAGATTTATTTCCTTTTAAAGTAACATAAAGTGTCATGAGAACTTATATTTGCTGCTAAACGGAAGGTAATAAGCCTAAAGGACTACTTTTCAAATGTTAATAGCTCAGGATAAGGATTACAAACTTGCAAAATTGATCAAAATATCCCTACTTTATACAAGCAAACAGCAAAAGTATATTTCTTCTCTGTAAAAGTAACATGGAAATTAAAAATTTACATTTTTTACTTTGTCCGTTTCCATTCAAAGTACTGAAGCGTTTCATATAAGTTTTATAACCTACTAATTGGTTGTTTTTAAGGTCTACAAAACAGTTTGGGAGGAAATTGCAAAATTATATTTTTTTTTTTCAATAATTTTTTTTTTTCACATTTTTTTACATTTTTATTTCATGAAACTCTGTTATCATAGTTTGATCACGCAAGTTCACGCACTCGTTAGAATAAATGTAGTTTTAACGTATGCACATCATTTCATAAGAATCTGATAAATTTAACTCGAGTTATCGTGCTAACGACACAAATATGAATTTGAACAAATTGTGTTTTTTGGCCTCAGGTGCCATCAAAACGAAACAGAAAGTTGGACCTTACCTTTAGATCTACGGCATCGATGTATATACATCGATGATCTACGGTAATATCTCATTCCCTGTTTGGGAAATTCACTAAACGGGACTCTGTTGGTCTAATTGGTCTAATTGGCTTGGATTCATTTCAGGTCAGTCATAAATAGTTTTGAGCTTTGTGATAATTCCGAGTTGACCCTGTGGTTCGGATCCCACTGTAGTCAACCTATCCAAAAAATATAAATTAGATATATCTCTCTGGCCTGGATCTCTGAATCAAAGAACTCCCCACATTCTGAACCAAACGAAATGTATTAAATCCCAATGATCTACTATAGTTAAGTCTCTTATTGTCTGGATATTATAAAACATGATAGCCAATAAAGTTTCTCTGTGAAGCAACTTTTTTAATTACCCGGCAAGCTTTTATAATCTCTTAACTTTAATTATAAACAGGAATAAAGTTAATTTGGGTAAAAAATAAACATTTATAAAGTAAATTGAAAAATCAATATGATCGTAATAATGTAGTATTTAGAAACAAATATAGACTCAAACGTGTTCTGCTGTTATATAAAATAAATGTTTTCTGTAAAGCCTTTCATATACAAACCGTAAGGAATGTTCCGAATCTTGGTGGATCCCATTCCCATTGAAAGTCGCGATATTTTTTCCTCAGCAGACAGCCCTAGACGTATAATGTAACAGTTCAGCCAACGAAATAAATCAAAATACTTCGAGTCTATATCACTGCCACATCCTTCCCCTGCATCTTACACTATTACACCAAAGTATTCTAGATGCATTTTAACCATCTTGCTAAAGTTTTTGTTGTATAATATAAAAAATAATGACCAAATTAATGTATGTAAACTGTTATTTCGAATTGATAACACAAATATTAGAATGACATGAGTAAAGGGGAAGTTTTTAAACGCTGAAAATAAGATTTAAATATTATATTTAGAACGTGAAGGTTCAATATTTTGTGTCACATTTTCATTTAACAAAAACTAGATTGATTTAAAAATATTTAAACAACTGGAGGAAAACATTTCCAAGGATTTTTTGGACATTTTCTTTGTTAAACATTTGTAGTAGTCAAAGAGTGTGAACTAATCAAAGACTTTTATTAAATATATC